TTCTCATTGTGAAGGCTATACATTTGAGGGCAATAGAAAGAAAGTCAGAAGTCAGGTGTTACATTATAGAAAAATAACTAATAAACTAAATTTCCTGTAGTAAATTCAACTATTTACAATGAGAAATATTAACAATTCTAAGAAATTTTAATGATAGTCACTAAAATCTCAATCTAAAAAATTGTATGTTTGATTTGAAAAATAAACTGTAGATTTCAATATTATGCTTCTAAAGTTTTATGAAATTAAGATAAAATTTATGATGGATTTAACACACAGGAGTCATTATACACAGAAATACTTACTAAATAATTACTACATTGAACTTTTATTGTAAAAGGATATGAAACTAGTATTTTGTTCCACTTTCATGCAATGTAACTTTCATTAAAACTGATGGCATATGCAATGAAAAACATGCAAAATTTAGATGATTCTATGTAAATAGAGTATGTATGTAAGTATATGTTTGTGTATGTACATGTGAATGCATGTGTACATATATGTGTTCTATTTCAGAAATGCTACATTATAATTTTAGGTTGATTCCTTGGAATTCTTTATTCTAGACATATATAAGTTTCTCTAAAAAATTAAAAGCATATTTAAATCGACTTCTGAGTGTGGGGGTAAACCCTGGCAGTAAGCTAGTAAGCTCTTACAGAGTAGATAAACCCATCACTCCAATATAAGATAGAATTACTCAGAATAAATTGTGTTTAAGCACTGTCCATAACTTCTTTATAAAACCATGATGTGACAAGTTTAACCTCATTCATTTCTGCAGTCTAGTTACTTTTCTCAGGATACGTGTGTTGAAATAATTCAAGACAAGTTGACAAACTAGGAAGTCTAACAAACTTTAAAAATACTTGATGTAAAATTCTCTCTCTCCCTCTGTGTGTGTGTGTGTTTCTAGCTCTCTCTCCAACCCCCATTGTTCTTTCTATATTTATAATAGTTGTTATGGCATTATGGATTGGTAAAGACAGGGCAATGTCTTTGGGTAGTTTGCTATGCTTAGCAAATTAGAACCTTGAACTCCAAAAGAATGAGGGTGACATATCTGAATCTCAGGAGCACATTCTGGTTTTCCCTACAATTATCAAATATAGTTTGATGTAAACAAATAATCCAAAACTCATGAAAAATAGACACATTATATACCTCCATATTATTTCATATAAATGTTATGTTTCACACTAAACAATAAGCAGCCTATTATAAGTATTTTCCATATCAATAAAAACATATAAAATTTTATGAATAAAAATTAAAAATAATTATACAATAACAGATTTTAAAAACTGTAGATTAATACCAAAAGATCGTTGGTATTGACATTTTGAAATAAATCAAAAGAATCAGTAATGGAGAAATAAAAGTTTGAAATGAAAGGACAGTCACTACCAATAACATATGTTTCAGTTCACCAGGGAAATATGATTCTACTCTTTTATGCAACTAATAAAAGTATCTTAAAAATATAAAGCAAAAATTGACTGAATTAAAAGGAGACAGATCCAACATCCTATTGGGAAAATTTAATTCATCTCTCTCTGGAAATGATAGACAATAAATATCAGTAAGAATTTTGAAAATTCAATATAATGAACACCTAAATATACTAGATAAATATATAACTTTATACCTAATAACTAAGAAAATATATGCCTTTTTCTCCAGTTTGCAAGGTCCACTTATGAAAACTGATCTCATTCAAAGCTCTAAAGCAAGACTCAAAAAATGAAAAAAAAAATCTGGTCACAAATTAAGTTAAAAATCAAGAGTACATATAATTTAGGAAGATTCTATTTGTTTGGAAATTAGTAACTGTACTTATATAAATCAAGGAATAACATTTTTATTTTTTTTTTTTAAGATTTTATTTATTTGAGAGAGAGAGAGTGATCACGAGAGGGGGGAGTGGGAGAGGGAGAAGCAGACTCCCTGCTGAGCAGGGAGCCCCATGCGGGACTTGATCCCAGGACTCCAGGATCATGACCTGAGCTGAAGGCAGTTGCCCAACCAACTGAGCCACCCACGCGCCCAACATATTTTTAATAAAAGCAGAAAGAAAAAGTAATGACAAAACTGTATAATAAAACTTGCAGTAGAGGGGCGCCTGGGTGGCCCAGTTAGTTAAGCATCTGACTTTGGCTCAGGTCACGATCTCAGGGTCCTGGGATGGAGCCCAGTGTTGGGCTCTGCTATTGGCAGGGATTCTGCTTCTCCCTCTCCCTCTGCACCGCCCCCCACTCCCCACCACCCCGCCCCCCTTGCTCATGCTCTTTCTCTCTCAAATAAATAAATAAAACCTTTTAAAAAATTGCAGTAGAGACTTTTTTTAAAAAAGATTTGAGACTTTCTACAATGCAACTTAACAAATTAGAAAAACTGAAACATACTGTAATTAAATATCAAAGAATAAAAAGAAATTACAAATACATTTAAAAATATAGATTCAACTTATCAACAAAAGTGAGCTTCTTAAAAATATAAGATTCATAAGGCTTTAAGATTTACAAACTAACATTGATGAAGGAAGAGAAAAGGCAAAAAACAGACCATATTAGGAAAGTAAAACATGTATGAAAACAATGGACACCAGTATTTTAAAACTGTGAAATCTTTATCCCAATAAATTTGAAAACTTTTACTTCTCAAGAAGATAAAATATTTGTCAAAGCTGACTCAAAACAAAAAAACCTTACTATTACTCTAATCATGACAAAACCTGATATGATTTTTAAAAATCATCCTACAAAAAAGGGCAGGTCCAAGTAGTATTACCTACTAACATTCAAGGAACAAATAAATTTACCACAATTATTATAACGTCCAGAAAGAGAACATATCTATATTACTTTACCAAAATCCTAAACTTGGTACCAACTCTAATAAAGACAATATTATAAATAGAATTATAAGCAAATCTCACATTAAACATAGATGCAAATATCTTAAATATCCTAAGCCTAATTAAGAACAAATTAAGGTGATAATACACCTTGAATAATTTAAACTTTAAACTTTCCACAGGAATTTATTTTTTAGTATTTTTTAGTATTACAAAAAAATTAATATAAACTAACTTGTGTATGAGAAAATCAAGTAATCATCCCAATCATCCCAAAAGTTACAAAAATGGGGATTAAGGAATCACAATGCTTATTATTGTCAAAAAAAATCTTACCAAGAAAAGCAGAAAATAAAATGTTCTTAACCTGACAATCCTTAACTATTGTAAAACTTGAAACAAATACAAAACATGAAATATTTAAAGTATTTATTTTATGACCAGAAACAAGTAAAAGGCATCCATTCTTACTGATGTTATTTCATATTCTTCTGGAGATAATGTCTAGTGCAATAAATCAAGTAAAGAAAATAGATAAGGAGATAGGAAAAAATAAGTCAGATCCTTTATTTTTATAGATGATATAGAAAAAAGAATCTTCAATTAGACTGTAAAAATTGTAGATTATACAAAATTATTAAAATTAACAATAGAACTTTTTTTTAAAGATTTTATTTATTTATTTGACAGAGAGAAAGACAGCGAGAGAGGGAACACAAGCAGGGGGAGCGGGAGAGGGAGTAGCAGGCTTCCTGCTGAGCAAAGAGACCAATGCGGGTGCTTGATCCCAGGACCCTGGGATCACGACCCGAGCCGAAGGCAGACACTTAACGACTGAGCCACCCAGGCGCCCTGACAATGGAACATTTGTATACAAATTAATATTTGAAATTTTGCTACACTTTCATATTAAAACTACAAGCATTTCTAATAACTAATTAAAATATATCACTTAACCTAGCACCAAAAATTCTAATGTACCTAAGGAGTAAAATCTAAGAAAATGTGGGCAAAATTTCTACAGGAAAAAAAGCATGTATAGTATTTATATATAATTTATACATTTTATGTATAATTTGTATTTTTTTTTTAAAGATTTTATTTATTTGAGAGAGAGCACATGAGAGGGGGGAGGGTCAGAGGGAGAAGCAGACCCCCCGCCGAGCAGGGAGCCCAATGCGGGACTCGATCCCGGGACTCCAGGATCATGACCTGAGCCGAAGGCAGTCGCCCAACCGACTGAGCCACCCAGGCGCCCCTAATTTGTATTTAGTATACATAAAACTCACTGATATGTATTGAAAGAGATATCACATACTCATAAATTAGAAACAGTGCCACAAGATCCCACATTTATCAAAAATGATATATAAAATCAATTTAATTCTAATCAAAATCCCAATAGGATTTGGTGGAAATTAATAAACATATTATAAATTTTAGGTGGTAAAAGGCCAAGAATAGTCAAGGAATTCCCAAAGAGCAAGATTTACCTGCCAGATAACTATCAAGTATTATTTCCAAAGATGACATAATTATCACAGTGTCCTATGACAGGGCTTTAAACTAATCAATGGTATTTCCAACACATATGACTGCACAATTTAGGACTGAGATTATATATAGGATTCCTATAAACTTACAAAAAACCAAAGTATCCAGAAGATAAATGGACATACATAGAGGCAATTTACAGAAAAGGAAATATGAAAGCCCAAAAATTAGAGTATATCATGTATTTAGATGTCAAACACATATAACTTAAAATATAGTTTTCAGGAATTCACACATATTGATGACATTCTAAACACAGACAAAAGATAAAACAAAATTGAGGCTAGCAGTCCTTTAGAAGAGAAAAGAGGGAAAAAAACATAGGAGAGAGAAGAGGGGATTGGTTTTTGTCACAGAAAGTCCACTGGGGACTCTATGAAGACCGGAAAATTTTATATTGAAGCTGATTTGTGGGCTCAGAGATATTTTTTTCTTTTTCCTTATGTGTCACATACATGTTTCATATATGTTTTAATGATATATTTCATATAAAACTGCACAATTTAAGGAACACCATGGTAAATTATATATATATTTAAAAAGTTAAAAAGATGAAAATGCAATATAAAAAGTTTCCAGAGAGAGCTTGCTTCAGCAGCACATAACACTAAAACTGGAACGACCCAGAGATTAGCATGGCCCCTGCACAAGGATGACAAAAAATGTTTCCAGAGAGAATAAACATCTTCACTCATAGCAAACACAATAGTATCACAAGATTATCTAAGAAGGAATAAAAATCTGACTGACATCAGACTTACCTGGCAGAATTCTCTAGAGGTCAATAAATCAGTATTAACCAAAATAGTCAGAACCTAGATTCATACTCAACCACAGTAGTATATACTACTAAGAGCTAAATAAAAACATTTTCAGAAATGTAAGCACTCAAAGTCTACTACCCAATGACCTTCTAAGGGTGAATTACTATTAAATGTATTCTTGCACACTAATAAATTCATCAATGAAAAATCATGAAATATAATAATGATGAGAAAGAAAGCTGGCAAAATGTATAGTTAATTCTAATAATTATTAATGAAAAACAAAACCCAACAAAACAAAATTGAGCCTTTCTCTGATTTTTTGTTCTGAATGGCAATAAGTTTGATTCAAGAAAGAGTTAGGTGATCCCATTTTAGTCTATGGCACAAGATGTATTTTTCACTTCAGGTTCTACCAGAGTCTTTCACTGGTGATATAGGAATATTGTTCAAATTAAACACACACATCTCTATGTAGATACCAACTGTGTGTGTGTGTCTGTGTGCATACACTGTACATCCAACAAATCCTAAAGAGAAGAGAGCATAAGTTGAACACACTGTATACTTTACACAAAGGTGCTCTGGTTAAGCTTCAGTAAGTATAAGCAATATTTTTAATATTTGGTATCTAAATGCCACATGGGAGATGAAGAAGGGCTCTGTTGATCAAATTCTATACCATCATTTTAATCATCCTCTCTCCTGCTTGGCTTTAGTATACAAAGGTAGATTATTAACATAGTTTTGACTGTTGTGCTCACACATAAGATCACAACTGCGGTTAAAAAGAATAAGAATCATTGTGGGAATCAAAATGTGCACATCTGGAACCTCAGAGGGCAAAGATCTATTTATGGGTAGAGGTACATAGATTACTATCCTGAGATGAAGAAATTTTCTCCTCGAGGAATTAGAATAAAGAACTTTATTTTTTTCAGAAATTTCGAAGTATTATTTTGAGAATTCAGGCCTTTTCTAGGGCCAAGTAAGATGTATCTCACATCAAACTTATCTCACATTTGGCTTTCAGCATTAAGGGGAAGATAAAGTCTAGCAAGTCCATTGTGTGAGATTTCCTTTGAAGTATTAGGTATCGATAAATGGAAACCTGAATTATATTTCTAGATGGTTTTTCTTTAATTCTTTCCCTCATGAAATGCTAGGGGTCTGTTATTTAAGACTGCAACATGAAAATAAGAGCTGAAAATATATTCTGGTTGTTTTTGGAGCAATGAAGTTTAACTAAGACCCAGTTTATGAAAAATTTGATGGATAAAAATGGTGAGAAAGAACATAAAGCACACTTTTCATTGAAATTCTGAAGGCTGAGGGAATGTGCCAACTAGAAGTGAATTCATACTATAGAATAAATGTTGTTGAATATCTGCTTATATATGTGTATCTTGTAAATATAATATTGTTGCCATGCAACTATGGAGATGTTTAATAAAAAATCATTTCACCTGGAAGATGACTAAATATGGAGCTGCTGCAGATAGAGGCTAGGGGGTAAATTGACACAAAGAAAGAGGTTATGAAATTTAAATGTGAGGTGAGAAGAAGGAAAGTTCTCTTCTGCCATCAGCCTTTGCCATGCTTTCTATTGACATTTCTTTTCAAATTCTTGCCAAAATTAATTTAAATTGATACGTGATTTCCATATCTACTGATCTACGCATGTAATGCTTACTGGTCATAACCTTATAGAAGAGGAAGGGCCAGTGGCAGAATACATTAATTCTGAGAAATGTGCTCTAGAAAAATTTTCCAGGGGCACCTGGGTGGCTCAGTCGGTTAAATGTCATCTGCCTTCAGCTCAGGTCATGATCCCAGGGTCCTGGGATCAAGACCCACGTTGGGCTCCCTGCTTAGTGGGGAGCCTGCTTCTCCCTCTCCCTCCACCTGTCGCTCGCTCTGCTTGTGCTCACTCTCTCGCTCTCCCCCAAATAATAAAATCTTAAAAAAATTTTTTTTTCCCAATTTTTCTCTGGCCATGATATCACCACTACTGTTGATTACACCATAAAGAAATCCACTCTGCAAGTCCAGCAACTCTCTGTTTATGACCCCCGCTATATCTTCCCTGCTCTATTCCTATCTTGAAGAAAGGGCATGGTTCTCTGTATATCCAAAGGATGAGTCTTCATTCCTCATGGTTCTCACCAGGAGACAGCATCTTAAACTCTGCTACGCTAGTCCTTTGACACTGATTCCAATTTAGAATTTTTCAAAAATAGGGTGCTTTTATGCTTTTTGATTCAGTGATGCTGCCAGAATTTGTTTCTGCCACTAATCCCAGAAGAAAGAAAAGGACAGCGTTACCACTTATTTCTCATTTCTATTCTGACATATATGCCCAGGGGCATATCACTCTCCCCCCTCACTGGAATTGCTTATGACTTTATACTTCCATAAAATCTGGATTGATATAGCAGAAGCTGTCTACTCTTGTAGTCCAAATGTTTGCTTCATATTCTGCTCTATTTTTCATTATGATTAAGAGAAGGGATATCCATTTTCTTCAGCTGAAAATTCTTTATCCCCAGTGTTTGAGCCATTTACAAAATTCAATGGGGGAAAAAAAGTACATTTCTCATGCAAATTTTATAAAATATTTATAAAATATTTCCTTTACACACACATATATATATATATTTACACATATATATGTGTGTGTGTGTGTGTGTGTGTAAAGGAAGTCCAGTCTATTTTTGTCAGGAAATATCTTGTATTAGGTATATATTCAAATTAGCTTAGATCAATAAAAATGACAATTATTGGAAGGGTTTAGAGATATTGTTCAGAACTCAAGGACAGAAATGTAGCAAGAATCCATGAGACTCTGGATCCAGGAAAGAGAATGATGAGAACTCAGGCTATAATATGATGACAGCTTTGAGAAACTATAGTTTGGAGAGTAGAACCTCAATACTGCATCATGAATAGGTCAGTTCCTAGTGAACTAGAAAATAATACATAACTGAGGTGAATATGTCATACAGGATATCATATTAGATGAAAGGATAGAAATAAGACTATCTTTTAATCATCAAGAGTGTTCTCTCACCGCTCCTATATAAAGATTTCCTTGTTATACATATAATAAAGGATTGATAGTTAATGCCCAAACTATCTACACATACACACCCCTACATATAACTAATTGACTGGGTTATTCATTTTTCTGCTCACTGATTTTGCATCATAAATTCAGTCTGCACTTTTTTCTGTAGCTTTTGCTTCAATAAAGTTGAAAGTTGCTTGGATTTTCTTCTTTTAAGTTCCTATATAACTTTGATACTGTAGGCTTTCCAAGTACTACAAGACATGAAATACATTATTTTTCCTCAAAAAAATGCTTCATGTTTGACATTGTCACATAGGTTTGATGGCTAAGTCACTTACTATTGTACTTTGTACTTCAGGAATTTAAGTTATTTCTGTAGAAGTGGTGACAGTCATTCTGTAATGGTTCTTGAAACCTGATGAAACCACCTATGTGACAAAAATGAGGTCCAAGTGAAGTTAACCTATTTTGATAACTGGGGGGGAAAGGAGGATGGCTAAGTAGATAAAGCATTATTAATACAGTTCTAAGTTAGGGCTCAATTTCACAAGAGATGGCAGAAATCCAAAACCACTACTCTGTGAGTTTACAGAGTGAAGTTTTCTAAAGTTTCTTCATGAAGTACACAAAAAGTTTGCCTCCCAAGGAGAAGGTATTAACCTAAGGCCCGTAAAAAAATTCAAAACTTATATGCAAGTTTTGTAGACATTTGCATTATTTTTTTACACAAAGTTTGGATTCATTAAGAAAGTGATAGTCCAGAGTTTATATGAAAGCAATTCTAAAGAAACATTATTTATAGGACTTCATCAAGATAAAAATCTTTTGCACAGCAAAGAAAACAGTCAACAAAACCAAAAGGCAACCGACAGAATGGGAGAAGATATTTGCAAATGACATATCAGATAAAGGGCTAGTATCCAAAATCTATAATGGAACACTTCATCTAGAACTAATGATGTAATGTGTGGGGATTAACATAAGAATAAAAAAAAAAAATTCAAAAAAAAAAAAAAGAACTTATCAAACTCAACATCCAAAGAACAAAGAATCCAATCAAGAAATGGTCAGAAGACATGAACAGACATTTCTGCAAAGAAGACTTCCAAATGGCCAACAGACACATGAAAAAGTGCTCAACATCACTCGGCATCA